AATCGCTAACGCAATACATAAAATGATTGTGATAGTCCAAATGACTCCGATTCCAATCTTGGCCGAGCGATTACTCACACAACGCTCATAACGTTGTACCCATCCGATGGCAAGCAACTGGCAGATAGCTAATGCTAGTAACGTGAGGAAAGAAACGGCTGTTGAAGCTGCAAACACAACAAAGCCAACGATGAGGACGTGGATGCCAATGTCTTCGCCGGTTCGCCAGGCGTGCGAGATCCCAGCAACCATAACAGGCTCGCCTATCAAACCAGTTACAAGATCAGCGACCAAGGCTCCTGTCACAAACACCGCCAAAGGATTTCGGAAGCATTTGAGAGGATCTTTGTAGATGGCGTACAGTGTCAAGCTGTTGACCACTACAGTTGCAATGGCCACCAGAAAGATGTAAACAAACATAAAAATCCAAATGCCTATTAAAACGTGGAAGTTTCTTGGCATTTCATAATGAGTTATATTTGTTGTGTTTGTCGTCGGGACCACGGTTGTTGTCATTTTAGTTGGATTAGCCATTTTGCAAACTAATTTTGTAGACTTAACGAAGGGGTCACAACACTCAGATTCTGCTCTGCATGATCGATTTCTGGGAGGACCCAGCGTTACAATTTCAATGACGTCATTGCTCCACAGGGTTCCCAACCGAACAGGAGTATGCAAGCTTACTAAAACAAATTTTTGGGGCTTTTAATAAAGTTTTTGTTTATAGTATTTGCAGAAACTTTGTTTTTTTTCTCATTTAAAGCATTAAATACGTGAAGTAAAATTGAAACCAACTGTGAAATATAACTCCTACTAGTAAGTCGCGAAGACATACACGGTACGGCAGAGAGCCAGGAACACAGGAAGCCCAAATCCTACATTATCTTATTAAAAAGACGACCTGTACAGCACCGTCACTATTTCAGTTGTTATTCTAGCAGTTCCACTAAATCAATAGCTAATATTTCAAAAGTTCGAATGACAATTCCTTTTTTCATTCTCCATAGCACCATGCCAAACTCAGTCAATGTGTTGTACTTTTGCTTAAATAACCTCCACGTTGACCTTGTCTTGCGAATCTTCGTCAAAGTCTTCTCGTCTGGTCTCGTTGTAGGCTGCTCTTCCCTCTTTTTCATCTTTAGCACAACCACAGCATTTCAAGCAGCCGGCATAGACGATCTTCAACGACTTTTTATACTTTGGAATGCGCCACACAAGAATGATGGGATCTGCAGCGAACTTTGTAAGGAACAGAATATTTGCTATGGCACGTACGATTTCTAGGTTGACCCACCCATAACGACTTTGGGGAGTTGCATAATAAAAAATAGCTGCAATTGAACAYGCAATATAGGGCCAAACGGTTAGGAGCTGAACCAGCACCAGCAAAAAGGTTCCCTTCATGAATTCCTTTGTGACAACTAGATTTTCCTGGCGGTTGACTCTCTTGCGGAAGACATGGTACGAAACGATATAGATGATAACCAGTGCGATAGTAATAAGGGTCACCTCGAAAAGCATAACCCCAATTACAAGCCACACAGTCACAATCGTTAACAAACATAAAATGATTGTGATAGTCCAAATGACTCCGATTCCAATTTTGGCCGAGCGGTAACTCACACAACGCTCATAACGTTGAGCCCATCCGATGGCAAGCAACTGGCAGATAGCTAATGCTARTAAYGTGAGGAACGAAACGGTCGTTGAAGCTGCAAACACAACAAAGCCAACGATCAGGACGCGGAAGCCAACGGTTTCGCCGGTTCGCCAGGCGTGCGAGATCCCAGCAACAATRACAGGCTCGCCTATCAACCCAGTTACAAGATCAGCGACCAAAACTCCTGTCACGAACACCGCCAATGGATTTCGGAAGCATTTGAGAGGATCTTTGTAGATGGCGTACAGAGTCAAGCTGTTGACCACTACAGTTGCGATAGCTACCACGAAGACATAGACRAACAGAAACATCCAAATGCCTTCCAAAATGTGGAAGTTTTTAGGCATTTCATAGTCGCTGTGGTTCGTCGTTGGGGCCACGGTTGCCACTGTAGTTGGATCAGTCATTTTGCAAAACTAATAATTTTGGCGAGCCTACAGACGGATCAACACTCAGATTGTTCTGCATGATCGAGTTTTGGGAGGACCCATGATGTAACAACATGACATCTTCAAGTTTTTCCACAGGGTTACCAACCGAAAAGGAACATATAAGATTTCCAAAAACAGTATACCAAATTCTAATTGGCTTTCACTAACAACAGAATTTTTGACAGAAAAATTGATTTGTTTTTTTTTAAGGAATTGAGATGGAGCCTGACATTTGTACTTTTTTTTGAACATGACTCTTACTTTTATTAAACGTTATAATAACTTTAACCTATCCCCATATATACGTTTACTTGTATTTCTTTACGTTGAACCCGATAAAGATAGATGAAGGTAGTTAGAATCCATCAGATGATGCCGATCAACTTTTGGCTTCATCTATGTTGCCAGGCAATAATTGATTTGTGTATTTATACTTAGGTATACTAACTATTTTTTTTTTAAATTACCAAATTGTCACTTTCGAAATAGCTTTGTGAATTATTACGTTACATATGATGACGCTAGYACTTTAGAACTCCTATGGAAAATCATATTATTAACACACCTGGTTKTCTAAAACTGATATTCACTAGTGAAATAATTATTCAACGTAAGAAGTGCCGTTACCAAGTCTTCTCGTGCCTTATGGCACATAGGGCCTTCACATAGCTTTCCAATACATGCAACACAAATTATTATGCAGCCCACCTTAAGCAGTAGACAAGGGGCTATCGCATCCGCCATTTAGGTTAGTAAAGTTTTGGGAGTATCCCATGTCCCTCATGCAATGGGTGTGGTTTACACACGTGTCATGTCCAGATGTAACTATCACATTACTTCTACATCAACATCTTCCATCGAGTTCTCGTGATCCTCTTTGGACACTTTCACGTTACTTCGACTGTACGAAACTCTACTTTGAGTTCCAGAGTCTTGACCAGCACCAAAGCATCTCGGGAAAACCAGTTTCATGGCTTTGCGGTATTTAGGAACGCGCCACACAAGGATGATGGGATCRAGGAGGAACTTTGTAAAAAGGAGGTTGTCGGAAATAAGACGAGCTACTTCTACTCGTACTTCTGTTTCGACGTCAGCTGCTTGAAGGAATGTCTCGATGTAAAGTATTATACCCACAGGCCACATTAAGAGAATCTGCAYCAGAGCCAGGATACAAGTTCCTTTGAAGAACTCTTTGCTCACCTGATGAGAACAATGATGATGATGATGATTGTACGTTGATAGTTATGGTGATCATGGTAAGAGCAAGAAAAAATACCTCTTACGCAAGTAACATGCATGCTCCTAAAATGCCTCAAAATCACAGTGCATTGTGGTCTATATTCATTATAAATAACGCCATATTTGATCGCATTAACGTAAGACGTTTTTCCCGAAACGAGGCCACAATGCAATGCGTAAATATACTTCAGAAAAGGCTTATCAATCAGGTTAGTGGTAAAACAAAGGGAYATTAATGACGATACACAAGAAACAGGAGGTGGGGCTAACTAAACTGGGAAAATTTGTAGATATTTGTMSATGTACAACATGTACACCCTGTGACCCCCATGCACCTCCAGGTGCTTGCACCCCAGATGRAAATTACAAACTCAGCAGCTCCTTAGCTGCGCACTTAATCATAGTGTTAATAGATCTCTGTAACATTGTCGTGTGCACRCATGGCTAATGGATAAACACCGAAGGTACAAATAACATTAGACGATATGGGCATTTGCTGTGACCTCTTCCTGTATTTATCTRWGTGCCACTGCCATGGCAACCCTTTGTATTACCTGCTTGTTTTCTTCTTCATCAAGTTGCCTGGCAGCACGAGCGGCGAATACCAGATACGTAACGATATACAAGATGACTAACGCAACCGTAACGACCGTGCAGTGGAAAATCAGGAAAAACAAGAAGAAATAAYCAATCCATTTTTGGTCTGCGAAGAAATGAGGTATGGTAGTGAACACGGCTGCGTAAACCCATATRCAGATCAAACCCGTCTTGACTCCACGCACAGTAACCCATCGATCATACCGYAATGGCGAAKTCACGGCGATCAACTGCGAAATAGCCAACCCTAATAGAGTCAGGAACGATATAATAACAGTCGCCGTGAGAACTTCAACAGCAATATGGTAGACCTCGTTGGTAGCGTCGCTTTGTCCCACGCCWGCCACGCGCAATTCGTGAATATAAACAGCGCCAAAAAACGGGTACACAATCAGCCCAGAAATGAAGTCTGCAACTAAGACTCCAGTCATAAACATCGTTAGTGGATTCCTGAAGCATTTCAGAGGATCTCTATGGATCGCAAACAATGTCATCCCGTTGAATACAAGGGTTGGACCCGTTATTATGAACAGGAATACACTGGAGAAGATAGCCACTCCAATGTAGAGATG